TCCTACTGGTGATATTGATATTTTCCGCTATCGTAACCGCGATACGCCTGCACTGCAGCTCAGCACTGAAAGCGTGGTCATTAATCAAATATCTTCGAATCGTAGCAGAAATAAAATATGGCAATTCGTAGTCCGCAGAAGCGTGCTGTCAGCGGCGATGATGTATTCGAGCGTTTTCATGGGAGCTGAGCGCTTTGTCAACGTCCGGCATTAGAGGTCATCGCTCATGGCTGCAGAACAACCCCCACTAACGTGGACAAGTCGAATTAATTTGCCCATTCATGAATTCCGAATACTATGAAATGCGTAACAATATTTTTCGCATTTAGTCTGATTATTATGGACATGAATATATGTATAGGTTTTATTTATATAGCACTAAGACATCCTATGTCTCTGTTAGCTTTAATTATTAATTGTAAAAATGTCATAATCAATTTATCAGCAATCTATAAATAAAAATATATATTCTACTTTTAAATAAAACACTTTAACGGTTTAAAACGCGATATATTAGTTACATTTATTTGAAAATGATTTTTAACTTCGGCCCGACGTTTCGTAAAAAAAATCATTTTCAAATAAGTTTAACTAATATATCGCGTTTTAAACCGTTAAAGTGTTTTATTTAAATGTGTACTACTTGCGTAAACTATCGACAATATTTATATATTCTACTTGTTTTATATACTGTATAATGTGAATTTCGCTATGTACGTACGAGTTACTATATATTAAGTGAGTTCGTATTGTTGGTTATTGCATATGTATAAATTGTACGTTAGTACTTAGAATTGTAGTAAAGGGACTGGCTAATGTATAATCGGAGCTGTAGCTATGTGTAGCACTGTAGCATATGCTGAGCCTGCAACATTTGCCTTCTTTGTGCTTACTTAAGTTTTTTATTGCATTACGCACACAATGAGAAAAGAATAAATGTCTTTTATTTATTTATTTTATATGTACATATTAAAGTGAGACTTCTTAGCACAGCCTTATTGTAACAGCAGAAGTGAGAGGGAAAAATCGCGTCTAATTAACTATAGCTTGTTTACGAACAAACGATTCCAGCTATCCCAGAACCGCAAAGCTAGGAAATTCATCACTAACTATCGCGGACAGAGAAGAAGTAGCGGATCGAATGTTCTTGATACTTTGAGCTTTCTTGTAACTGGCGAGCACGGTTCGCTTAATACTGGTAATCTTTTTAAAGTGTGCGCCGAGAACTACAGCGATAAGAACTTTGATTTAACAACTCGCTGACGTGCAACGTTGATTTTATTTAATGCTAAAAAATGTTCTCAATATTTATGCACGATGTACATATATATTGATGATATTTACGCCAAGGAAAATAATCATATGTGTTGGAATTTTTCAACATTGCAACAATTACGAGACACGATTTTTTAATGCTTTGCGTAATTTTTATTAAAAGTTATTTGTTTAACAGAGCACCAATAATTAATTGGATTATTTTCATTAATTCAGTATACAATTATCAAACAATGTAATAACCGGCTATTTATTACAAATAATACTCTCTTATTAAAGTTCGCTTACAACATCGAAATTTAACTATTCCAATTTCGAAATTCCACACATCAGTTGGCGTAACACCTGCGTAACTTTCCTTTTCAGTAAATTCGCGAACAAACGCCGCATTTATTCTGAAAGTAAACACGAATTATATTCGAGTTTCAAGAACTAGACTTGAAGAGCTTTCGAATTAATAACAAAATAATCCTAAAGTAGATAATTGACTGAAAGAGATACATAAAACGTTTGTCACATACCTAATGTGAGTCGTAAGAGACTAAATATTATGAATACAACAAAAATCTATTAATAGCTTAAGATTTTTTAATGGACTGCATTAAAGTATATACATTTTTAACTTAAAATTGTATTTATTTGCATAACAAGCAATGTTGGTTATTTAAGATATTATAATATAACGACAACATCGATTATACACGCTGGAATCGCACTGTTATTTTACATTTGACCCACTGTCTCTTTCATCGATAATCGTTTATACTTTTTTAGATCAATTTCTTAGAAAATTCTTACAGGTTATATTTCGTTTCGGTTTATACATATGACGGTAAAATAAAAAAGGCAGACCATAGATCATTGCACGCTCACATCAATTAGAACAGCGAAAACAATGTAAGGATTACAGTGCAGAAATACAAACCGAGCGGCACAATAGAAAAGTTTATTACGTATCTCGGGCGAAGTCGGCTTTCTCGTTAAAAGGTAAATATTTGTAGAGGCAACGTGTGAGCACAAATAATGAAGCCTACGACGTAACGAGATGGATGTTGTGGGCTACCGACGAAAGTAATTAAGAGTTTAACAAGAGTTACAAAATAAGACAATTTTGTCAACTTTCGCCGATACCGAGCGGGTTATTATAAGTTTGGAGGGAATTTTTAATTAACTACGTGTTTAATTATTTTAAGGGTGTTCATTTAGAATTTGTTTTTCAATTTCCTAGTAACACGTATTTTGATAGAATAAAATGGCAGTATTTCAAAATAAAATAGAAAAACGCTACATTCTGTATAGATATAATATTCTATGTGTTCATAGTACTCTTTTAAGTCATCTACCGAACTCCATTGAACTAATAAATAATCTTATATTGGTTACCAGTAGCTTAATAAAACGTAAATAAATTAGTGTTAATAAAATAAACATGCGACCCAGTGGGCAGAGGTCCGGTTTAATCCAAAGACCCACACTTCGTCACTGTCTTCCGTCCAGCCTGTCGTAACAGAGAAAAACTGGAATAGATACTCTGCACTTGGTAAAAAAATGTTTATAACATTCGTGGCAACAATTCATATTTGCTAAAAAACATTTAGAAAAAGAACATGACATTTATCCTAGCTTATTTTGAGATCGTTTAGGTTTTATAAAAACTCGAAAACGTAAAATTCTTTGAAAAAAAGTACTATATACTGCTCTAGTATAGTAGTTTAAAAGAACAAACTACTTTTAAATTTAGAACGATAATTTAAAAATATATAACTGCCTTTTCCTGCTCCCTGCCGGTTTATTTATTGGTCTAGCCAATGTCAGTTTTGTAGTTTTTCGAAAAAAAAAGTATAGCTGTTCTTATCTTTATCATAGTCGCTTTAAATACGCACTTAGTATAATTAGATACTTTACGTATGTACCAGATAAATGTAATAGCCCAAAAAAGACTTTATTGGAAATAAGCTTATTTCGGCTCTTTTCCCTGTTTCGCGTGACCTGACCGGGATTAACGGACATGTTAGGATTTAAGGCTGCGGCGGTAAAATGTGGTCCGTAGGCCTTCGAATACTCTCAATCCCGTGTTTACAGTTTATTGATGGTAAGATGTAACAATTTGTTAACCCTTCAATTGATTGATTTCATACAAGCACTCGGTTAATCAAAGTACGAATAAGTGATGGTTTAACATCGTATGGAAACGAGGGTTTTTAACTAACAAACATATTTTGACCGAAAGTTGCGTATTTATTACGTTAAGCGTAAGAGTTCCTGGGTTAGAATCTCGGGGAAGTCTGATCAACCACTTGTCTGTAAACAAAATACAACGGTTAAACAGACACAGAAATGTGTTTCCCCCGCACCAAACTTTTTTTTAACTGTTTAATATTCACTACTAATTCCAACTAATACTTACTGACTTGTCTTAGTGACTTCGTTGTTAATACAATATTATATACTGCTATGTGGTCTAGAGACCAAAACCTGGGGCATAATTAAATGATCTAAGAGGATTAAGGCGGAACAATTTAATAGAATTACGATAAAATGTGGCTTAAAAAACTTACTGAGATCCATATTTACGTAATCAACTTAGATACGAAAAAGTTTACAGAGAAATAAATACGTTAGCTGGCGGCGTATATTGGTGCTGGTCATTTTAAGCTATAATTGAATAGAGCTAATCCCACGTCGTCTAAATCTGTCGTTCGCCGAGCATGGCCCAAGAGCCTCGACATTGACTGAGGATCGGGAGATTACGTATTGGTCACGCTCCCTACGACATATTAAGATAAATCCCGAGAAAATGTTACCACGTATTAGAGAACGAACTACCACAAAACGAGACACACTTTTTTCGCCATTTTTTATTCATAAACTTCGTCGAACTACGAAAAGTCATTAGAAAAGTTGACTAGCGTGTTTGCTTTTCACTAAAACTGTTTGCTTGTTTTTTGCCAAAAAGTAAAAGAACACATTAAAAATAAATGTTTAATCATTAAAAATCGTATATACAAATATACGATTTTTAATTTATATAAAAACGTTACGAACGTTCTGTTATTTGAAATACAATTTACTTACGGAGGATAATATAAAGGCAACAGTTTTTACTTGAATTCTCGGGTGTTAATTAAAAGAAGATACCAATTACAAAGTTTCGAAATTAACGAGGAAAATAAAATCTCCCCTCACTCAAATCAAAACAGAACAACGAAATTAACTAAGCGCGACGTAGACGGGTCACCCCTAACTCTATTCTAAAAGTTCATATCGTCCACCTGGGCACGGAGAGTGGAAAAGTAGGGGAATTAGGGAAGAGAGTGAAATAATTCGAGTCATAAATTCCACTTTTATAACCGCGTAGCGAGTGCGGTCTTCAGACATCGACATAATTTAACTTTTTCTTATTATCTTTAACGCTGACGTCGTTAAACGGTTCGCTCACATATTGCTGAGACAGCGCTTCCATAATGGCCACGTAATAACAATTCATAGAAACTCAACGAAACTGTGAAATTGCCTAAAACTTTTTATAAGAGCTTTTACATCGCGATAAGGATAACGCTGTGCTCACGCTGTAATTTAGCGGCTTTGTAATTCAGTACTTTAATAGATGTTTATACAATACATCGGCTAGGTGCTCTGGCGTAGAGTCCACGTTTCATTTAGGTTTATTTATTTTTTATCTAGGTCTATTTATGTGTTTGTGAATAACGTTTACAACAGTGTTATTAGCACACTAAACTAAAGCTTAATCGCTCAGTACTAACAGTAAGCTGTATTCTAGGAACACATATCCAGCATCTTAGTACTACTGGAATTTGGAACACCGGTTTGCTCTTAAACTTGCGTATAGCGCCGATACCGGGTGTCGGGTGAAACTCGCAGTCAAAGTTCCCTGGGGCAAAATCCATAAGGCTGTTTTGCCACATGATCGCTTCCACGATTTGCCAAGAAATAAAGTCGAACAGGAAAACTACTTCCTACCGCAAGTGGGTTGATAAAAGATAGCACGTTTCTTGTACCCAAACTTTCCTAGTGAATATGAAACAGTGAACAAACTGAGAACTTGCACTCACTGATATGAAATATTTATACAAATTTCCAAACTCGGTGCAAGCGTAATAAATGAAGTTACAATATTTGTTGCTACTTAATTTAAAAGCGTAAATACTTTTTTTTCCTAAAATACAAGTATGTACATCTTTATAAAGTTTAAAATATATATGTATACAATATTGTGATAATAATAACACTAAAATTACACTTCATAAATAACATAACTTTTCCAAAATTTTTCCACCTGCTTTAAAACACTAGCTAACATAATTACCATACGCTAACCCAAGTGCAAATAGCGTAATGTTTTTAGGTCAGGCACGAAGCCAATAAAGCTGTTATTTTTGCTTCTAAAAAGTATTTTCACGTTAATGTGCTAAAGTGACTGACGAGCTACAATGATGGATGGAAGTTGAAAAGAGCTTCCTTTTCCCTTAATAGCTATCTTGTAAGCGTTCAGTGTGACCAAATGAATAATATTTTTCTTCTTATGAAGCTAAACGATTTCTCGTTCACATTCGAGACTAGCTTAATTTTATTATTAAGTTATAAGTAAGCGAATTATCCTAGAAGTACATACCACGAGTACTAGACGCAGGGAAACTAGAGGTACTCTAAAACATTGTATTATGCCGTTGGTCAATCGATTTACCTAATGTCCATCTTTGTCATTTTACCTCGTTCAATGTACCTTACAATATAAAGCATAACTATCTATGTTATCTAGCAAGAGTAGTTCATTAACATTTATCCACAATGAGATGAAATGGGATTTAAATAATATTAGTTTTTACATATTGACGCGTCTTATATAAATTATTAAAGCGTATTAAAACGGGTATAATGAACGTGCCACAGTCTTTATCGAATTTTAATTCTTCTAAAAATGCATTTTATGAGTCTAATGAGTTTTAATTACATAATAATTGAGGTACATATTTTTTATGTTAGAGGAAGACAGAAAATTAGAATAAACTTAACTTTTCTTTTCGCCGTAGTTCGCGACCCCGATAGAATTTCGATATATCTACCATACATTTAATATCCAGACTTTCAGAAATTTGTCTGTAAGAATATCCGGTATTCGTTCACCTATATTTTTAAAAATGATTTAAATGTTTCTTTACTTTAATATAATTTATTCAAGTACTAGACGAGAGAAGCAAAATGGAGTTAAAATCTCACAATTGCAACTAGTTAGGACTGTAAAGTTTCGTAAGATTGAACGCTCAAACGACTTAATTCTAACGAGATCATGTTTCAGACACTCGTCCCCAGAAACAGTTTTAAGACATTTGCTTCTTAGTTCTTACTTTAGTGTTAATCCCTAAGTTTCTCTGCCTTTGACTAGTTCGCAAACAGTGGAATTGACAGCTTAGCACGCTCTCGGTTAGTTAACCGCCCGTGGTCAAATCTGTTACCAACTTGCTCAAACCTTTGAGCAATTAAAATACTTAGATTCTTTTGCTATACACTTATATCATTTAATTTTTTTACATACAGTACATCTCGATACTCGTAAACCGGAATATTTTTATATTTTTAAATAAATAATTGTATACGTGGGCAACCGTCACTTTACTAAGTTTTAACTGCGCCGGTCCATCATCACTTCTCTCAGCGTCTTTAGAGCAACAATTACTTTCTTTTCGTACATTAAAATCTAATGCAAAGGCGTTAAATTTCAATTTTGCTTTTTTATTATCTTGTAAAATATATATGGAATTTGGAATTCACAAGTAGTACTTATTGCAAGGTCATGAAAGACCGAGAAAGATTAAGATGAAAGACCACAAAGACCTTATGCCACGCTGTAAGGACTCTCTAATGGTTGGATTATTAGTCACGTCTCCACTCCATAAAACATATTACAATTTCGAAACATGAAATTATGATTTACAATAGAGCTCGGTCTCGTTATCAGCGCGGTAGGGGCGGGTGATTTATACAACCCAATTGGTGCTATCGCGATTCCCCAATTCACCTATCTCTAGACAACAAACGAAAGCAGAAAGTAATCGCTTATGCTTATCTGAACGCGTAAATTCAAAACAAGAGGGAATTGTTTTGTTAAAATCTGATATAAAATATGATATTTGTGAGTATTTGGCTAGAAAATATTAATTCGAAAAGTCATTTTATAAATTTATATTACGGCTATTGCACTAAATAGGTGTAATAGATACGACTATTCAGTTAATAATAATAATTTGATAGGATTTCAGAAGAAGTGGATTAGTAATGCAGCGACACTTTTTAATTAAGATCATTTTAGACTTTCTTTAATATATTAAAGAAATATTAATGTTACTATTAACAATTAGTAACGTGTTACTAACATTTATATTATAAAAGACAAAGTCATCAAAGTAATGTAAATTAATCAATCTGATATGATCGACATGAATACTGATTGTATCAGATTAAAACAACATATGTAATTAGCAAAACGAGAGTGATTAAAATGGACCTAGTGCGTCACACTCGTAAAACAACTATTTGTCAGGGCCTTATCGACCCTTATGATATATGTGGAGCTCTATCGGAACGTGAGAAAAATTGCGTTAACCAAACCGCTTTAGGCAGATAGCGAAATTAATGTGTAATGTTATCAATACGTGCTCGGGGCCAGGACGGCCCATAGTCATCAATCAGGGGACCACTGAACTCGTTACCGAGTTTCAAACAAACAGCAATGAGACCCAATATGTTGACCCAACTTTTTAGATCACTCACTCTCGCTTCAAAGGGTTCATCTGGAAACTATTTCACTCAATTCAACTTTGGCTTTTTTCATAAAACACCTGTCGGGAAGCTAAACGTTCGCTCTGATCCGAGGGTCGCTTCTATTGGAGATCGGGTCGCGGAAGGAAAATGAGAGATTGGTACTTCTTATAGTTTTGCGTAGACTGTAGATAGTACTATCATGATCGTATGGATTGTAGAAGAATAATAGATGCTATTTTTATTTCATTGCTAAAAAATATTAATGTTTTTATGTCTCCTCTATAGATAAGCTATGAATGCGATATAAAAGGAGAAGAAATAGAAACATTTTAATTATTTTCAATCGGTGGGATAATTTTTACACTAAATAATGGTGTTAAGTTTTCATACTTGTGGAAAATTAACAGAAATGTAACCGACTATTGGCCGATATTCCACCATAAATCTATTTCAAACTGCAAACCCATCTTAATTGAATTTCCTTCGAGTGTTATACATTAACAAATTCATAAAGCGACGCCGAGATAATTTGTGACTTCCGTTTTCATAGAGCCGAGTTAACACCGCCTTCAATTTTAAACGAAGATAATGTGATTAGTAAAAGAGAAGTTAATAGAAATTTGAAAGAGGAAGTTAATCAGAGGATGCAGCTGGCAGGCGACATCAAATTAAACCGGGCCGGGCAGGCCTGGCAAAGTCTTGCGATGTTCAATCGTTTTAAATTGGGTAAACAAGCGTCTTGACTCTACTGCAACCTTATTAACTAACGAATTTTTATATCTACTTTGCCTAGGAAAGAAGCGATATTAAATGTTAATAAGATATGGTTTATTAACTGATACTAAATTATATTACATGTGCAGTACATATCATAATATGTTTGTTTTCGTAATTTGTTGAAGATAAAGCGTTTTTTGTGGGGTTCACGTCATGGCCCCCACATCCCAGCCATATAACACCTCAGCAAAATGCGCCGTCGACCTATTTTGACTTTGGATATTCGGAAATATACAGATTGAAACTGAAACGTCATTAAACTGCGCAGCTTTTCAATCTGTTCAATTTAATATCTAGATTTCCAGATAAAGGCCAATATGTTTTAGAAAAAAATATAAATCCTTTAAAAAGATGTTGGCTCGATGCGAGTCGAACCCACGAACAGCTGATTATTAGTCATATTTAGTTCCATTAGACCACGGAGCTCGCCTGATTATCATCTCTCATACATATTGCCCGGAATTCTAACAAAAAATTAATTAATTTGAATGACTAAGTCATTGGTGAAATGTTTTTAATAAAAGAAAAAATAGAAACAACGCATCCTTTTAAATTTAAGCAAACAGATTAGCATATCGAAATTAAAAATCATAAATTATGGGCCCAATATAACACTCATTTCGTACCAATTTCCCTCGTCAAACACAAGAGGTGTTGAGGCGTTCAAAATATTCCATCGACTCATTAATTATTCCCCAGAAGTGGGGTGCGTGTCGGTATTTCTCACTTCTTATAAATTTATGATACTAATATAAATACTTGAACGACTTCGCACGTAAACTGAACACCCTGTATGAGATAATAATTATAAGCTACAGCGTGACGGCAACTTATTAACCTTTAGCAATAACTTCCTTATTAAGTACGCAACTTGTGTCAGGTGGAACGTGAAAACTTTACATGCATTATGACTATAATTTATCCTGCCCTGGAATATTTAATCTAATCTTTGAGAGAGGAGTACGGAACGGAAAATGCTGGGAATCAAATAGTAGTAAGAAGATTTTAATTATGTTACGAAAACGGGAATCGAATCGTATGCGCACGTACTAGACCAACATTGCTCTGAATTTTATTAAAGGAAGCTGTATATTTGAAGAATTCAATGTAAGTCTATTTCAGACACAAAGACTCAGTCGCAAGTTTTGAAGAGATATGAGTAAGATAAAGCATAATCTATACTAATATATAAAGCAGAAGAGTTTGTTTGTTTGTATGTTTGAATGCGCTAATCTCAGGAACTACAGACATTCTTTTTGTATTGCTTATAGCATTTATCAAGGACACATCACGATGTGACTAATAGGAGCGAAGAAACGGTGGGAAATGTGAAAAAAAAACGGGGAAAATTATTAAACTTAGAGGGTTT